TGGTTGTCACCTGTCAGTCACTGGTTGTCACCTGACAGTGATTGGTTGTCACCTGTCGGTCTCCTTGTGTCCCACTGCCAGTAATTAAGATAACATTGGTTATTAAATCATTACAACTATTACGTTATCAATAAATGTTAGAATGTGATTACTCTGGACAACCACACAAGACTAAGGACAGAACTGAAAAAATAATTTAAAGCAATAAAAGCAACATGCTGTTTCACCAAGGGAAGGAAAGTCTAACATATGTAAACAAGGCAGACAACAATAGTTATATTCACATTACACAGTTATACTGTGTAATAACACATTTATATAATATAATTATGCTACGTCATTAATATACTTACACTGGCCTGTATACATATAAAAATACATACCCTTATATTTAAACTGTGCACTGTGTACATAATGTGTAATATTCCTGTGTGCAATATTTTGCCACTTCCTGCAGAATATTTATACATTTCTATATTTTTACAGTAAAAATACGACACATCATGTGTGTTACACTCATCCTGTGCAGCTATCAATCATGAGCATACAGTATCTGTTTCAGTGAAAGGTGTGGATTTTCTATTATTTTCATTATATCTAATTTTTTTTTAATAATTTTTATCCCTTTTCCGTTGCCTCTGCTCTGAGCTGCTGTAACGTGAATTTCCCGGGTGTTGGATTAATAAAGTCTTACCTAACCCTAACTGTTAACACTAATCTATATCAATATTAGCACATTTTACTTTAAAAAAACAACATAAAGATATTGTTCATATATTGTAAATCAATGCAGTTATTGACAGCTACTTACCAAAAAATCAGAGTTCTGTCTCTCAGTATTATGTATTTAAATGACCCGTCAGTAACTTGTAGGAACTATCCGAGGTCTACATGAGTCACGTGACGCACAAGCATTTTAGACTTACGTTGTCGCGACTCTGTCATATTCTACAGCCCTGCCCCGACTTAAACATCATAACACATCTGTGGATAGAGCTCAAAGTGCAAAGCGGAAAGGAAATCCTCCAAACAAGAACTGAAAGACTCTGAGCTGGATACAAAAAGAGGGCGCTACTGAGCACTGACCATGCAGGGTGCCCAAACTTCAGCTTCAGGGACTTTTTATCTTTTATTTTTATTTTTATTTTTTATTTGAAACTGTAAAAATTTAAGTTGAAAAGTCCTGTGATTAAGATATTAAAGAAATGTTTCATCTTTAACTTCATGTGTTTTGGAGATCAGTTAGTCTTTTATTGAACTACTCTCAGTACACGAACATGTTGATCCCAAACTTTACCATGTGACTGTAAATCAGGACACTTTGTCCATGTGTGGAGACAGATGTCCTCCTCATCCTCACTGATTGTGTTTGTGTCTCCAGGTTGATTCCTCCTCTGAACCAGCTGGATTTACTGAGGAACCTCAAGAACAAGTCAGGACTCTCATTCAGGTCTGCTAATGCTACTGCTGCTACTGCTGCTACTGTTACTCCTGCTACTGCTACTACTGCTACTGCTACTACTGCTACTACTGCTACTGCTGCTACTGTTACTCCTGCTACTGCTACTACTGCTACTGCTACTACTGCTACTACTGCTACTGCTACTGCTACTACTACTACTGCTACTGCTACTACTACTGCTACTGCTGCTGCTGCTACTACTGCTACTACTACTGCTACTACTACTACTGCTACTGCTACTACTACTGCTACTACTACTACTACTGCTACTGCTACTACTACTGCTGCTACTACTACTACTGCTACTCCTTCTACTGCTACTGCTACTACTACTGCTGCTACTACTACTGCTACTGCTACTGCTACTGCTACTACTGCTGCTGCTACTGCTACT